GATGCACCAGAGGGCTGCGCTGCCATTTAGCGGGACCTGGACAGGCTGGAGAGTTGGGTGGAGAGGAACCTGATGAAGTTCAACAAGGGCAGGTGTCGAGTGCTGCACCTGGGGAGGTCGAACCCCATGCACCAGTACAGGCTGGGGGCTGACCTGCTGGAAAGCAGGTTTGCCAAGAGGGACCTGGCAGTCCTGGTGACCATGAGTCAGTAGTGTGCCCTTGTTGCCAAGAAGGCTAATGGTATGCTGGGGTACATTAAGACGAGTGTGGCCAGCAGGTCAAGAGAGGTTATCCTCCCCCTCTACTCTGCCCTGGTGAGACCCCACTGAGTACTGTGTCCGGTTCTGGACTCCCCAGTTCAAGAAAGATGAGGAACTCCTAGAGAGAGTCCAGAGAAGGGCAACAAAGATGATAAAGGGAGTCCTTTCTAGACCTTACAAACCTTGTGTGAGATTGCATGTATAGGTATAGAAAATAGCACTGTGAATATCAATAGTAGTAGTGCAACTGCAGAAGAGGAGAGGAGGGAAGTTGAATATGAGGAAAAACTTCTTTACTCCGAGGGTGACAGAGCACTGGCACAGGCTGCCCAGGGGGGTTGTGGAGTCTCCTTCTCTGGAGATATTCAAAGCCCGCCTGGACGAAGTCCTGTGTAACATGCTCTAGGAGAACCTGCTTCAGCAGGGGGGTTGGACTAGATGATCTCCCAAGGTTCCTTCCAACCCCTGCCATTCTGTGATTCTGTGAATCAATGGAATTCATGATTCAACGGAACACTGATGTAATCTGCCTTTAAAAAAAGAAAGGGGAGGTAGGCATAGCTGGTAACCATAAAGTTGTTTATCCTAAATGACACAGGAAATAGAAGGAATTGAACGCAGAAGTAGAAAGCTGTCTCTGACACACCCTAGAAAAAGGAAAACAGCAGTAGCATTAATACTCCTAAACAGTAGTGGTTGCGCACACCTGTTTGGCATGGAAAGATTCTACTGGTTTGAAATTCTGTTTGTAAAATGAGCAATAGAGATGGGCATGGCAGCGCTTAATAATGGAACTGGCTCCAGTGCCCATTTCATCTAACCTTTTCACATGCTAATTCCCTTCTGCAACACTGCTCACGCACTGAACTTCTGAGTGGCTTTCAGTGGAGTACCATATTTTGCTGCTCTTTCCATCCAACTTCTATTTGTACTGGAATGTCTGTCCAAAAAAAGACTGCTTTAGAAACACAGATTCCACAGTAGCCTACCTCAGATCAGTGTTTGAGTCCTGCTCAAGATCCTGTGCAGAGCAGAGAGGCTAAGCTGAGTGACTTAAATAGCTTCTTGAATCCATTAACCTGTAAGTTTAAGATTCTGTGTTGTGTAGTGCCTTATTTCACTGTGCTCTGGCCAAAAGATTTGTCTTTAAGGAAATACCTTGTTATTCAGGCTCACTCATTTCCTTTCCTTTTACTAGTGGGCTCTTTACAGCACACAGCTTAAAGGTGTTGAGGAAAAAATGAAACTAAACTTAGTTAATATCTTTTCCTCAGACCACACTTTGTGGTTACCATTAATATCCCTGCAGACTTCCTGTACTTAAAGAAGCAGCAGCAGCATGTGACCCCAGAAATCTAAGAGAAAGTAACATGCAGAAAGGAACTGGACTTGCAGACAGCTTTGACAGATTGAAAGGATATATTGAACAGAATTTTTAGCTTTGTCGTTTTTGGAGGGGAAGGGGACCACTACATTTGGAGCCAACCGGAAGCTATGTCTGCAGAACAAGCGGAAGGAAAATGCAAGTCCATTCTGCCCATAGTTGAGTGCAAGTGCAACTTTGATCCAAAAGCAAAGTGACCAGGCTAGGGACAGCTAATGCACTATTTTGGGTCACTGCCAGGAAACGATAATATTCTTTTTTAACAGCCCTGGTCATTAAGAGTTTTATTCTAAAACCAATAACCTAGTCAAGTCCTTTTTTAAAAACACTTTATATATAAAAATAATATTTGTACATATATGTACACAGATGTCCATATGTTTGTATTTATATAAATTCTCTTGAATAAATTATGACAATGTTGCACCATGTAATTGTGGAAGACCGTAAGCAGGGCTACTTGTGTAAGGACGGAATATCTTGTTAGAACAACCAGTATGAGAGGGAGGTGGGCACAGACAGGTGTTTAGGCCAGTTATCCCTTCTAGACTGAAGATCTGGTTGTGTCTGTATGCTAACCTGTTCTGTCCACCTATGCCACTAGACTGCGTTACTTGAAAGATGCTCACTGTCACTATTTCATTATTTTCTCTTGCCCTGATTTGCTGTTTGATGTTGAACTTTTAGGATCCTTCCTGGGAATCTGCACTGCTGTGTTTATACAAATTAAATAAAAAGATATAGAAGCTACCCTGGAACCAGAATTTCATTTTTTGCTCTCCTGTCAGTTTTTTTTCCTGTGTACACCGCAGGTTTGTTCTGAGGAATGATGCATACTCACACACACCTTCCCTATGGTGGTTCTATGCTCTACCTTTAACTCAAAGAGCAGCTGTAGAAACTGTTCTGAAATACCTGTGTTAGCTACGATGCACTCTGTTTAGATTATTTCTGAAATGCACCTGTTACTGTGCATAACAAATGGAACTGTCAAACATGATGGGATTTTATTGTGTTCAGTCCCTTTAGTTGAACCATCTTGGAACTGACTTGTTTACTCTGAACAGTTACATGGGTTGCAGCTACATCAGTGAGTACAAACTAGTGTGATTATGTCTGGGCTAAAGCAGATTAAGAGGCAAGAAATGTTGTAGTGATACTTTTGTGTTATCAAGCAGATGATGAAGTAAACCATATTAAAGAAAGGTGACACTTGGTGGACTGCTTTTTAATCTTTGCTTTAGGAAAAGCGCACTCTTGCTATGGGAGACTTGGGACAAAATGGTAGCTTGGAGGAGGAGGACTCAAGTACACAAGAATGCAAGGAATTACTCCCAGTAAGGCTGTTCCACAGAAATGCTGAAGCTGTGGGTGTATTTAGAGCGAAAAATCATTTCCTGTGAACTGAATCTGAAATATATGAGAAGTCTACTTTATCTAAAAGGGACTGTTTCATTAGAGGCATATTGGTGCTAGCTCTGTTAAGCATTTCCTTAATCAGCCTTTTGGGAAATTTGCTGTCTCCAAGCTTGCTTATATTCAGCAAGTTGCTGAAGTCTGTAGTTGCATTTGAGAAGTTGGGTAATTTGCTGCTTTCATGACAGCCTAGTTGCTGAGCAAATGGTTTATAGTGATTTATGGGTGGGAGTAGAGGAACTGGCTTAAGCAGGAGGGCTACAAAATGGTCAATCTGTTTTCAGAACCTCACATCTGAAAGAATGATAGATGGGTAGTATTGTTAAAACTGTGAACGGTAAAGCTATTTTGCACAGGTTAGCTATGTTAAATCCTGTGATACTGGATTGAGGATAATTTAGAAGTCATTCTGGGGCTGGGGAAGGAGACTGGGAATACATCTGAGAGTTACATAGGCAGTATGTTACTAGCAAAGCTTGAAATATCTTTGTGTTGGGTTGACCCTGGCCAATAACTAAGCACCCACCAGCTGCTCTCTCACTTCCCTCTCCCCCTCCAGTGGTATGAGGGAGAGAACTGGAAGAACAAAAGTGAGAAAAACTCATGGGTTGAAATAAAGACAGTTTAGTAAGTGAAGGAAAGAAAGGAAAAAACCAAGTAATGCAAAGTCAGTCACTCACCACCTCCTACCAATACCCAGCCAATCCCCAAGCAATGGCTACTTTGGAAAGACCAGCCCTACAGGGTTTATCACTGAGCACATTATATGGCAGGTAATATCCCTGTGGTCAGTTCTGATCAACTGTCCCAGCTCTGTTCTCTCCAAACACCTTTCCCAGCCCCAGCCTACTTGCTGAGGGTCCAGAGTGAAAAACAGAAAAGGCCTTGGTGCTGTACAATCACTGGTGAGCATCAGCTGAAACACTGGTAAGCTATCAACACTGTTCTAGTCACAGATAGAGAGCACAGCACATTACTGGTTGCTATGAAGCATTCCAGCCAGAGCCAGTGCAGTCTTCTGCAGTATTTAACAGAGTAAAAATACATTAACATAACTTTTTGAACACCTGTACCAGGTCGGTGTAACTTGGATATTGAGAAGATGGCATTCGAGTATGAAAAGAACCATGTCCAGACGTACTGATGGCAAAACAAGATGCAGTCTTTGCTTCCTGAGAGTACTGATTGCATTCCAGTCCATTGTGGGTGAACAATACAGGTGCTATATTTCTGTATAATAATTGTGGACTTAGAAAACAGCATAAAATTTCTGTTGTCTGGCATAACAGATCTTACTTGTTTTCTTCCTTATTTCTTAATTGAGTGAAAACATTCTTTTTTTTTGATATATATTGTATTGTCCTTTTTGAATTAATAATCTGAAAGTTAAGATATTAGTGCCCTATTGAAGAAAAGCATGTCACATATGCATATATATCAGACATTAGGGCACACGAATTTTTGTAGAGAAGTACACTCAAATTATATACAAGGGAAATTATTTTTCAAATGGATTGTGTTATAGCAGTGACATATCTGCATGTAGTATGCTTGATTAGTACAATTAAAGGATGTAAGGACATGTGAGAAAATACGACACAAATTACATGCTAGACATGGTATCCCTGTGAGTTAATCTGAAAGGACTGCTGTCTTTTTTCCAGTGGTTTTAAGCATGCATGCCCTATGTTGACACTATGGCAAAAGTTCGTTCAGGTGGAGGTCTTACTCTGGAAGTGATGAGACGGGAAGTGTGTCTGTTGTGATCTCAAACATTTAGTAGTGCTGAGGTGCTGTTGGAAAGGAATGGAGAGTCGATTAGATCACAGTAGGATTATCTTCTCACAGTATGGATGGAAGTAGCTTCTGGCTCTCCACACTTGATATTATGGCCAAACCCGGAATCATTGTCAGTTTGTCAGACTACCTTTACAGTATTTTTACTTGTGTCATGTGGTGAACAGGAGGTGACACATTTTTTTTGCCAGCACTTGTGATGTTTCAGATAAAAGAGGCAACAAATAAAATCCTTAGGCCTTACCTTTATGTGTCATCTCATTGTGGAAATTTGAGTAAAACAGTGGCTCATAAGGTTTGCTAAGGAAAACATGAAGTCAGTTAACTTAAATATATCTGTGAAAAGCAGCACTGTAATATTCCACTGTGCTTTGCCATTAACACTTCTGTGCGTATGCATCAACCACCACGACTAACATGGAAAGTAGGACTTTGTGCTTAACGTGTGTTTTCTATTTAGTTATTAGTTGCAAGTTGTTGTTCTTTGTGTTAATCTATAATAAGTGGTTGACTGTAAACTCATCACCTTCATCTAATATGGGTTTAAATAATTCGGAATTTGCAGTTTCAGTAAGTTCAGTATTTCAACTCTCAGATGTTTATACAGCAGTTTGCAACATAAACTCAGGTGTAGTGCATGTAAAAGTTAGAAGTCCACAAGCCTTTTTCCAAATGATGCACATCTGAAAATTTTAGCGTTTAGTAGCCATAATCAGGATAATTTGGGGTGAATGCTTAGCTGCCTGGATCTGCTAAGTAGCTTAGAGTAATTGTAAATGGAAATGGGTTTGTGTCTTGCTTCTTTGAATAATGAAAAGCTATCCCCAAGAGTTGTCATAGCAGCTGTGTTTCTCATCCACATAGCATTGTACCAGTTTATGTACAAGTCTTGTCATTGACTAGCAGTCCTGTTAATGGACTGGTTATGTAGCCTCATCAGGTTCCCACTTGAACTTCATTGAAAGTACTTTTTTTTTTTTTTTTACTAATTATTTAAATAAATTTGTCCTAGATGGGAAAAAGTGGAAATTCTTTGGTGTGTTTTTTCTAACCCATTCATTGCCTCCAGCCTGCTATCTAGAGTTTGATTTTGAAAAAACTTAGTAATTTTTTTAATAACTTTTGCCTTGTAGGTTAATCTCCGAGCGACTGATGTGAAGCTTATGCGCCAGCTACTCATCATCAATGAAAGCATTGAATCAATCAAGTGGATGATTGAAGAGAAGGCCATTGCCAGCAGAGGTAGCAGTTTGAGTGGCAGCCTGTGCAGCTTGCTGGAAAGTCAGGAGACATCCCTCCACGGCAGCTGTAACAGTTTACAAGACTGTAGCGATGGACTGGATGGAATATCAGTGGGGAGTTATTTGGACACCTTAGTGGATGATGTCCCTGGTCACCAAACCCCTTCAGATGTGGACCAGTTCAGTGATTCTTCTATTATGGAGGACTCACAGCCTCTGCATAAGCATCCCAAAATTGATTCTGATGAGTACTACTGTTTCGGTTAATGAAAACAAGTTCCAGTGGGACACAAATGCACTTGTACTTACCCTTTTTCTTTGCTGCTATTTTATTTCATGTGCAAAACCCCCAAACTTCTCTTGGAAGGAAAATGTAATATGATACTTTGATTCCACTTCATAACTTTGCTGTTGCTTCTAATACATTTTCTCCTTGGTGGGTTGGGCTTTCCTCCTCCTCACCTTTTCTTAATTTATTGTTGCAATTTTTCTTTTTTTGTTTCATTTTGACAATGCTGTATTTACAGATCTTTAAAAGTGGTGAAGGAAAAGCTTTATCTTTAAAATGAGACATCAGGGAATGAGGGCAACAATTTTCTATTTGTTGGCAATAAAATACCTTCTAATAAATATATGTTGTGGTAAATTTTATTGACTACCAGGTTTGGCCTTTCCAAAGACACTGTTCTTATTGAGCCTTAAATCTGAATCTTGAAAATACCTCTACAAAACAATTTTCCTCTTGTAAGCACTGACATTTAACTCTGTTAAGCTGTTGTCACTTGGAATATAAAGTATGCTAAACTTTTCTGTGTGGGGTTTCTTTCTTCTTGAATGTACTCATCCTTCTTGTCTGATTACGATTTTAAATTCTGGGCTTCATTGTTGTCTTATGATGGTACATTCCAATATTGGAAGCTCTGCATAGGGGTATATTTCATTTTTGTGCTTCATACCTTTCATTTTAATTGAACCTGCTGTTCTATAGGCATATTCTGTATCTGTACAAAAATGAAAGAGGCATCCCACGTTAAAAATATCTGATCCTAATAGTTTGTGTACTGAGCCAAAATTTCTCAACAGAGTTAGTTTTAAAAATGTAATTTAAAGTCTTGATAATTTTTACCTTGACATTTTGAGGGATTTAGAGGGCACTGATGAAACATTTGACAGGAGGCAACATGCTAGAAGGCACCTCCTGATTTGCTTTTCTGCGCACACCCTCGTCCTTAACAAGTTTACTTTGTTTTTACCAAATATTATTACTAAGAGAAAGTGTTGCCCCACTGTCTTTTTGTGTCCTGTTTTACAAATAAGAGTGCTTTAACCTTTTTGTGCCTACTGGTACAGTTGAGAACTATGGCTAGTCATTCATATTGGAAGCATCTGAGAAGAAAAACAGGAGCAAACTGCTGTGTGGGAAGTCTCTACCTTTGAGACTCCCCTGGCCCATGCTTTTGTGCAGAAGATTAGGAGGCAGATTCTTCTTTTAATTGCTTCAGAATCACAAAGAAACAAGATTTTATCCTTCTACAGTAAAGAAGAAATAAGAATAAAACAAATAGTATTGAAATGGACACTTTAACAGATTAATAAGTGTGTATTCCCAGTTTACAGATAGTGAAAGAGATGTTGATATTTACATATCATCTAAAAGTGTCCTGTCTTGCCATGTCTGTATTCCTACTGCCAGTAAAGCATGGAATTCCCTTACTGAAGAAACTTAATGTCTGCCAAGTATAATACAGGCTCCCTATTTAAAATATCTTTTACACATTCTGAAGGAATAAAGCTAGTATATGCAGCTGTCGGTGTATGTTGGTTTGGTTAATTTTGAGATAAAGTAATAGTCCGATAAGGTTCTGCTCTTCCAAGCCATGTTTCCATGGACCTGTCTTGTCTGGCCTTCATCAAAATCCAATGTGGAGAAAAGGTAAAAACTCAAAAACTGAAAGTGGCAATTTGTGCTTAGTGGTTAGCTCCATTACTTCACAATACAGTAGACCTCCATGTCCCTCAAAATTAAAAAACAAGATATGTGTGTTTTGATTTGGACATCATGATTTATTCAAATAGAATGAGAGTGAGGAAATGTGTTGTTACCAAGAATGAGGCTTCTTAGTTCAACTTCTGAGATCAACCAGGCTATTGCAGATAGCTTGAAGGAAAACAGTGGCAAGCCCTCAAATGTCAATGCTGTGCTGACTTAACATTTTTAGGTTTTTTTAATTCCTTCCGCGTCTTATGACTGCTGGATGTAGTTTGAAAAAAAAAATATTGGAAAAAATTATTTCTTAGTGTACCATTAAATAGAACTTCAACTGTGAATTAAAAATAGGTTTTATTACTTTACTTTAAATTGTTTGAATCCAGGGAACAGAACTAACTCCTTGGTGTAAAACTGTGACTCTCTTGGGAGTTTTTCTACCTTTATTGCTTGGCATGGAAGTTAAAACATCAGGATGTATACTCCCTCTGAATGCAACAAATGTGCAATATATACAGCCTTTTCTTCTCCAACTGAGATTTTGGGCAGTAGGCCAAGATTCACATAGAATTTTTCTAGTATGAAGGAAATTCAAAAGTATTCTTAGCATACCTTCTCAAATATCCCCTAGAGTTCAGCTGAAATTACTTCAAGGAAAATACAGGCTGTAGCTGTCACCCACCCACTCACAGCTGTAATACTGAGTAAAGACTCATTACATCAGTGATAGATTTATCGTATTATGATCAAAAATTTCATTTAAATAGGAATCAAAGCTGGCAGAAAAAAACCCTACTACTAGAAGCGGTGAAATAAGAACTGTATGTGATTAGGAGCTTTTATTCCTGTATGTGTCTTGACTGGAAATGGAGAAAGAGTACAAATGACAAATTAGAGTGGTCAGGAGACTGATAGAAGGAAACAAGAACTTCCAGTCATTGTGTTTCTCGTATCCAGGAACACTACTAACACCTTGGGGTTTATTTCTGAAGCATAAAAACTTCAAAGATTTAGTTTGACTTAGATTCCTTAATTGAATTAATAGGACTTCATAACCAAAAGGTAATAATTTACTCTGACTTCCTGCTTAAGACAGACAATTAAATTTGATTATGTCCTAAAATGAATCTGATAACTTACATTTGAACTACAACTTCACTATTTAGAGAATGGAAAATGTTCAATGTTCTTAAAAAAATATTCCCATTGGGTAATTCATTTTGCTTTTAAACAGTTTACACATTTCTTCCAGCTTCCTCTTGACTTGGTTGACCTTGGTCTTGCAAAATCTTTGGTAAAAAGGGTATTGGATGCCCTCTTTCAGCATTCTGCAGAGTGGGGTTCTTTTTTCCCTTGGGTTTCCTTGTAATTATTTTTCTGATTTACAGAGCTAAAGAACAATATTCAGTAGTAACGGGCAGAGTATTTGAAAGCACTTCACAAAGTTATGTCTGTTTCAAATGGATAAAAGTAACAGAATTTTTAGAAAGTGGAAAAATGGCAAATATAATTAATTTATTCTCTGTCATTTTCTATCATCTTGGCTCTTCTGTCACTTATCTTGTTTCCAGGTATGACAGACAATTTTAAGACAATTCATGAAATCACAGACAACAAGCAAAATCCCAGACCATTCTTATTTCTGTACTGCTGAAGTTTTTCTTTTGAAAGACATGCCACTATGTAAACTGTGTAATTCAGAGGCAATAAGGGACAGCCAAAAGGATAGATTCAGAATGCTTTCTGTTTTAAAATAACTGTTTCCTGCTAATAAATAGGAACCAGCTAGTAAATGGATGTGCTCTGGTTCACAAACAATTGAAGGAGGGGAAAAAAATCCAAAAACCCAAAACCAAACTCAAACTTTTACATCTGAAAACCATGGTGCTTTAAAGATTCTGCCAAGACAGTCTAGCTGTGAAGTTTTCTTGCACTTTCAAAAGAGCAATTAAAATTCTTTGGAATCTCTCTGCCAGCTGCCAGGTCTTGTATTGATCTCAAGGTTGTATGACTGTCTCCACAAATGCTATGAGAGGATGAAGAACCGAGCAGGAGCTCTTGGATCCATCAGTAGGCCAGAAATGAAGACAGAATGGCATATCTGCCTTTGGAAGGTGCACTACCATTGTCCTGCAAATTGAAACAGGATGATAAAAAGCAGAAATCTGGTGTATCTTGTGAAAATGAGCCCTGACTTTTAAAGGGAGTGGTAAAATTCTGGAAGTACTGTCAAGATGTTTGAAAGTTTGAAGTTTCAAAAATCTTTCTCCGCATTTCCCTTTGAAAAAGAGAACTTGTTAGTTGAGGTGGGTGTAGTCTGAAATAATGTCTGGTTATACCATGTAGCTGCATCTCATATAACCCTATATAATCCACTGAGAAACTGGGGGTGGGGGTGGGGTGGGGAGTGTTTAGTGATCTTAAGCAGTTACTAAGCTGTCTAAAAAGCCTGTGCTAGTATTTTTCATGTTACCAATACTTATTCTGAACGAAGCCTAAAAGATATGTCTTACATATAAAGAATTAACATATACCAAATAAACATGGGATCAGTAGAAAGCATCCATTACCTTACAGCAAAGGAGGCTTTGTTTCAGTTTAAATGTGCTCTGTTACAGAAAGTTTGTCTTTCTCAGAATAGCTATGAATTTGCTATAGAAACACTGTAAGAGCATTCTACCCTGAAACAAATAGAAGCTTTTCCCTTACCTAAATTAAAAAGACGTTAGTGCTGCCTGCACTTGACCTTTCCATTGGTCAAAGATTAAATTTCCCTAGTAAGTAGATCTAGAGTGAAAATAAAACAATTTCTTTTTTTTTTTCCCCCAGGAAATTTTCTATGTTATGGCATACCACTAATAACATAAACAATCCTCATGAAGTCTTTTTAAAAGCATGTTCTTCCAGCACAAGTCTGATCTTCAGTACTGACATTTCCCCATAGTCTTGCTTGGTTTTGTTGGCTCAGTCCAGAAAGGAACATGTTTGGAAAGGTGTATCTTCTAGTTACTGTTAAGCAACCACATAATACAAATGTCTGAGAATAAATATCAGTAACAGGTTTTTTTCCAAAATTGTCTACAGAAACTATGTTGCCATTCCTGAGCAATTTTTTTTTTTTTTTTTAACCCCATTTTTGTCTGACATACATATGGAGAGAAAGCAGCAGATTGAGGCCAAAGGTCTAAAATCATGATTTTACTTGTGGACCATAGAGCACACCTATCCTCAGTGCAAACTTGTCAGCACTGCTGGGTCCAAAATTTTACAGCTAAGAACT